ATCGCCCGACCCTACGTTTGCACGGTGCAAAATCTGCACGTTTGCCCACGAGGCCTCGGATCTGTCACACCTTCCCCGTGGAATTTGCGATAAATCTCTTAATTGATTTATCCCCTAAGATACTGCACAACTCGCCCTCGTTCATTGAACACCGTGGCTCAGAGAATGCTCTGAGTTCCAATCCATAGTTGCAATTGCAGCAAACCAGAAGAAACGATGAGCACATTAAAAACATCACAACATTTGGGACACCCTGTACTTCTAATACGCCCCCCCCCCCCCCAAAAAAAAAAAATCTCCTAACAACAAGGAACAAGGAGATAAGACGTTAAGCGACCGAAGCAGCTCGACTCGGTCCCGCGCGTTTCCTCACCGGCGAAATCCGGGAGTCGTGAGGAATCACAATTTCTTCCCGGGTGAAAGGAAGCTGCGAGAGGGAGACGCTTTCTTCACCGCGGAAAATCCTCGGTCCGGTCCCACGATCGAGTGTCGTTCGCGGAAAAAAAAAAATCGTGGAAAGGGCCGCGGACGGAAGGGAAACTTTCACCTTCCAATCTCGCTCGCGGGGTGACACAATCGCGAAAATTAATTCCGATCTCCGCGACGAATCGCCCCGGGGGGCATTGACGGTATGAGAAATGTCCCGGTCTTGCGAGAAATGTCCCGGTCTTCCGTGACTCTTCTGCATTCCGGTAATGAAGGGACGGTTTATTAACGGTTAATCGCCGTTGCCACGGTTCCTTTCCCATGGTACTAACTCAAGTACTTCCTTCGAGTTCGTCTGTCTCGAAGTCGACTTTGCTCCTGACTGTGCTTCATCGTTCGCCGGTAAAAATTCCTAGAACGAGTGGAATTTATCATTTAAAAATTCTGAGATGAGTGCAATTTGATAATATTGATAAAATTTCTCAAATTAAAGCAATTTGATGATATTGATAAAATTTCTCAAATTAAAGCAATTTATAATATAAAAAATTCCTGAGATGAATGCAATTTCATAATAAATTTCTCAATTGCGTCCAATTTAACAACAATAATACATTTCTCAATCGAATGCAATTTGATAAATTTTCACAAATGAGGGCAATTTAACAAAGATTTCGCAAATGAGGGCAATGACAAAGTCCCTCACCGAGTGCAGCAACTCTCGGGGGCGTAGGAACCCATCGCAATTAAACGCGTCTTTTTTTCCGCCCCTCCGGCTCATGACTCCGCATGACTCCGCGGGATGCTCGCCGGGGTCTCCCCAAGGACGCGGAGCCGTGAATGGCAGTCGCGTTTACGAACGCGGAATGAATGCCGAGGGCTCGTTAGTGCACGATTGGGTAACGAGCGGGAATTTCCCGACCGCGAGACCGGGCGGGTGACCGGGCGGGTGACCGTTCGGTCGCGGCGGATGCCGGGAACGTCTCGATGCCAGGGATGCTGACGACAGGGATGCCGATATCATCGCCTTTCGCTTCCTTTCCCTTTTTTTTTTTTTTTTCTCGTCGAGGTGTCGAGGATCCGCAAACAGACCCTTAAACAGACTTTTCTCTCGCGGTCATTCTGCAAGAATTCGGAGTGACGCCATCGTTACATACGCGGTGTGTGAGGATCGCAGCGTGCCACGAAA